TTCTGATGGTGTCTGCCTCCGCGCACAAAAATGAGATGGGCATCACTGCCTACGCCTACGGCCAGAAAAGCCCGCGCATCTACATTTTCCCGCCTGCCCCCATCAGTANAAGAAGGTTTCGGTCATCCCTTGAGGGTGAGTCTAGCCCTGCTCGCCAGAAAGACCCCCCCCTTCACTACAACCCATGTCTAAGCAAAAGCTTGTCGAGGAGCGAGGGGAAGAAGGGAGAGTCGTGTTCATACTTTCTATCATCAGTACTGGTCCAACTGACACGAATGCCTTCCGTGATCACAGGCCAAATGCTACCCAGTACTTTCTAAAAGGTACGTATGAAACTTGTTAAAACCAAAGGAGAACAAATAAGGATCCAGGACCGCATCACTAACGCGATGACTTGAGAGCACAATCCATCCGAAACAGAAACAGAAAGGCCCTAGCCAGACAACAAGCAGGCGTCACAGGCGACATATCGGGCAATGGAGAAGTATACACAACAATAAAATAGAGTCCATCGCTCCGGCTCAGTTCGAGATGCCGAACAAACACCAATAAAGATATATACTGAAGTATCAATGATCACAACAAATATAATTCCTCTGTCCTTGTGCTCTACGAGCCGGGGGCATATTAACTGCCCGGGCTAAACACCTGTCATGCCATTCTACGCGTATATTGTATGCACACACTAAATGGTGGGCGTGCTTTTATTACTTTCCCTCTGAAGACGATTTGCGTATGTACGAAGTAGTATTCGCCTTATCTTGCCGGCCAAAACTGTACCAGCAGCACGCTCACACATGTCAAGTATTACGTATTAGAACTCCACCGAAGCAATAGAAGATCCCCCAAGCAGAAGGTGCTGAAGAAGTACTGTAAGGCGACAGATCCTTTCAAGAGTCAGATCGCAACCTGTGTATTTGTGGCACTGGCGGTTTGGACCCTTGTTTATATCTGAAGCGCACAAAATATGATACTACTAAGTATTCATGCATGATGAGCGCCATATGGCACCACTGAAACGCCTCGCGAGAGTCAATTGTTGCTGAAGAATACCTGACGAGATAGCACCAAAGTTTATGGTTGAGGTTTATGCGGTGTGTTGTTTGGCTCTGTGCTGCAGCAGCTGTGCCTGCTCATGAATACTTGCAACCGCTCCTTCGAAGTTTCGCATATATAATACGGGCTGTACGTGCCACCAAACGTTTGACGATTTTACCTGAAGTGAACACAGCAAATGATAAGCGTCAAGTTCTACGTTCGGGACGTGGGTGTCAAGCCTTCCGCGACTGACGCAAGATGACATGCCCGCAAACGGTTGTGTCTTGTTGGTGGGCAAAAGTAGGGCTTGTATTCCGTTGTAAACATCGCGTACGAAATTTGGAGCCAGCTCGAGCAGACAACTTTGCCGGCGAAACCTCATGTACTTCCGTTTACGTACAACGAACCAGATGCTGGTTCGGTGATTTTGGTGTTGCAATGTACAGATTTCCATTTTGGAACGGAATTTAAGTCCGAAACAATTCCACAAGCAGAGCCAAGAGCGCGCGCTCCCAAGAAGCTACACGATCAACGCTGTTGGTACAGTAGCAGTGTATCAGGGTGCTCGCTGCGAAGTGTAGATGGGCAAATGTGCTGTTTTACATTGCGATGGCACGAGAGTAAAGTGATGGAATGAGCCAAATGTGGGGATCAACTGCCCAAGCAGCATTTATTTCTCCGTGCACTTTGTATGTAGACGGCCAACTCCCGGGCGGCAACTGATTTGCGCCCGATATACCTCAAGAAGAGGCCACGGCGCGAGCTTTGAAGGGTCAAGATGAGTAAGGTTGTGGGAGCATGTGCGATGTGATCAGCTTTCTCTGGCTAGTTGTCGTTGGTAGCGGGAGACCTTTTTGAATGAGCACGCTGGCCATTTTTCCTTTAAAATGTTTTTTGATGGGCTCCGGTATTGGTTCGCCAGGCCTCGTCGTCGCGGAACGCGTTCCCGCGAGAGATAGAGCCAGTCCCCGCGCCTTTGGATCTCGAGAACATACCACTGATGCCTAACGCTTCTAGGGCATACGCGGTAATGTACCTGCGAGCCGCGTGTCACTGAAAAGAAGCCTGAGAAAAGGGTCGCTGCCGCCAGAGAAAGGATGCGCTGAAGCACAAAACACATAGAAATGATACACATACAATACACAGGAGCAATAAAGCCGCCGAGCATCACTTATTGCTGAAGAAGACGTGACTTAACAGCACCGAAGGTGTAGGCGATGGGCACTCTTACACTTGTAGATCCTCCTGCACTCTCTTAAAACCTGCCCAGCAATGCTCTTCCTCGTTTATCGGGCGGTGGCATCTCGATCACGATCACCCAGACCGTAACCGAAAACGGCAGTCCGATAGGAAATAAAGAAAGGCCAAAGCTGCAATACCTGCCGCAAGCGTGACCTGTACGCAATCCACTTGCTCAGATCTTCGAATTTGGCCTCACATTTGCTCCGAACTGCCATTTATCAGCGCCGGGTTGAGCGCCGCTCAGTTGGAGGCGGAAGGAGATGCTGCTAACGGGGATAAGCCAAGGCCACCATCAAAAAAGCCGAAAGCAAACCACTGGGCTAGAGACGTGAGCGCGTACGACATCCTTGAGCCGATCGGAGAGGGCACCTACGGCAAGGTGCTATCGCCTGGATGTCGGAGTGTCGGTGATCACAGTGTCGTGCTGCACTGCGTGATCGTACTGCAAAGCATGGGCAGCAGAAATGGGCCGGGCGTGATGGTCTTCGTCGCGTCGTACCTCGTACAGTATGGTACAGCATCAGAAGTCACTACCCTCGCGAACACTGCACCGGCTCACCGCCGCTTGCACGTTGTTGCCTCCTTGGCATTACCCAGGTATGGAAAGCGAAAGAGCCGGGCTGCGACATCGTCGTCGCATTGAAGATGATTAAGGCTACCGATAAAGAAGGCAACTCTTGCGATGTAAGTATTACCTGAAGAGCTATGGCACAACGGTGTGCGCATGTTGCCGTTACTGTGGTCAGCTGGATCCTTATTTTTTCGGCTGCGTTTTTGGTTCTCACTCTCGCCCCCCCCGGATGCCAAGCGACAAGTGCAGCACCGGTTCTCTGTTGGTTTCAATGCAAGGATCTTGACCTTCTCCACTTTTTTTGTTGGCGCCTCTTTGGACAGGGCGGATTTCCCATTACTTCCATCCGGGAAATACGTATTTTGCGAACCCTCACGCATGACAACATCGTGGAACTTCTGGAGGTGGTCACGGATTCGCACGGCAAAGTTGAAGATGGCAAGGTACGGGTGACACATGTACCCTAAGGAACGTCCAGGATGTTGTTTTCAAAGTATTCTGAGGGTTCTATTATCCCCGCTTCTTCGTCAATATATCTTGCATGCGACTTCAGATCATCCCCAAAGCAAACGTGGTCTTAAGATGGAGGGGACGGTAGCCCACCTTCCCCGGGGTTAATCGAGGGGTCTTTGTGCATGTACCTCAATCGACGAGCCTCCCGCAAGAGTGGCAGCGGCAATACAAAAGAAGGCGCATACAGGACGGCGGGCAAGCCGTGGCAAGCTGTGGTACTTTACCAATGCTTATATCAAGTTGTGAGATTGTTAAACTTCTTGCGCGGGTGACTCCAAAATCGTCTAGCGGCCGGTGGGCTTGTATTTCGGGGGTGCATGTGTCATGTGTCATGTGTCATGTGTGCGTTGCCCGGAACCACGATGTACTTTCAGATCAGCGGCAGAGGCTGGGAAACGAATGCCGTTTTTTTCTTGCGTTTGTATACTTCACAGAGCTGCTTGCACCTCCCCGGCCCCTTCGCCCTGTTATAGGCGTGGCGTATCGTGAGTGAATTAAGCATTGGCGCTAATCTTGTCTCTAGCTGTGCTCTTGAAATGCGTCGCCTTGGTTAAAACAGACACTTGTTTCTTGCACGTCGGTCGCGCATATGGTTTCACCCAACGCAGATGACATGCTCGATATAATGCATACAGATACCAGCTTGCTTCAAGGTCGTGATGCGCGAAATGTGTTGTGCCAAAGTTGAGGGAGGAGGGGTGACACGGAGTGTGACCTGTACTCCCCCAACGGAGATGAAAACCGAGACCCGCTCTGATTGAAATCGTCCGTCACGCAGAGAAATTCCTCGAGGCGAGCGTCCAGTCAGTGGGAACGACCGTAGCTCTCTGTTGTCTCCACCAAACCGCTCCCAAGGGAACAAGACTCGGCAGTTATTTTCTGGCACAATTTCAGGCAGCGAGACTTCATACTCAATGCAAGCGTGAAATTGCGATATGTTGATGCTGATATCTGAGATGTTTTACCCACGATGCACTTTAAGCAAGGTGACGTCTACATGGCGTTTGAGTATTTGGAGTACGACCTATGGGCTCTCGCAAATAGCTCCCAGGTAAAACTCACCGCCACTCACATCAAGACCTACATGAAGCAGATGCTGGACGCCATCGCCTACATGCACACTAACAAGGTGGGTCTCTGAGTTTTTCATCGGTGATCGCTACAAAATGACAGCATATCGGGTGTGTGGACGGGCCGGCCGATATGCGTAATAAAGAATTTACCACGGCCTGGTGTGATGTGTGGTGTGCCGATTGTGCTTCCCGTTCACGCCGCGGGGAGAACTCACCGCACACCCTCTTTTTGGTCGAGCGTTGGTTCGGGCGTTCGATTCCTCTCCAGCGCTCTCTCCCCATTCCGCATTTCGGCTACGCGGAGCAGCCGCGTTTTAGCCCAGTGCACGGCCGCGAGGCCGTGCGTTGGCCGTGGGTGAGGTTTAGGGTTAGGGTTGGGTTTGGTCGGGTCGGTCACTGTGTGTGACACATCCGGTGTTGGGAACCTAGGTTCAACGTCCTGTTACAATACACCTAAGAGTCACTAACAAACTGTAAATAGATTTCTTGTGATGCATTACATCTCTACCATCCCTGCTCGGCGAAAATTGAAGTAATTTTTTTTGTCTTCGTTTTTTCTCGTCCCCTGTGCGTTTCCCTCAATCCCGTGTACCGTTTCAAAAATATCGTCGTTTCTTCCGTTCTCACAGGCAGCGTCTCCTGCTCTGAGTTTGAGACCTGTGACATACACAATACACATGGGATGTAACAGCGCTGCAGCAGCCCGTGTTTTCGTTGTTGCAGCTTGATAAGCTTCCCAGAGACACTCGCGATAACACACAGCATCACGCGTAACGTCAGTGTTTCCCAGAGTTGGGGTAAGACAAAACATGTTGTTCGATTCGAACGTGATTGGGCCTTTTCTACGATCAGCATAAATAGCACTAGTCGACTGCTGGACATGACAACATTTCAGCATATATAAAACTCAATCCACGTTGTGTTCCAAACATGCGTTTGGTGGAACGACAGTATCAAGACCGCTGGATTTGACCACAACAAACGTACGGACGGTTTGATCTTGAAAACACTTACCATGATACCTGGTACACGACAGGTGGCAACAACTTGCTGCCGTAGATCCGAAAAGGGGCTGCTGAGAACAAATGTTCGAAATAAAAACAAAGAAAGCTGGCAGCAGAGAGCACAGATAGTTAATCTGTGTCTTTTGATTAACGCGTGTTATGATCAATCCCTGGCTAGTAACATGAGTCGCTGGCGCGAAAATCTCCATTGTGTGGGCAAGGACATGCAGTATTGCCAACTATGGACGAGATGTTATGACTACGGCAGCAGCGACATGAAGATCTGTGCCCGAGCTATATCAGGACCGTGCTCCTTACCTCTCTCACTTGTGATCTCTGTCCGCTGCTTTTGTGGTGTGCCAGCACTTGCACCACGGGCACGAGCATGCTTGGTGCGTAGTTCAATGGTTGACGCGGGCGGTGAGCTCGCTTCACATGGCCTCAAGAACGGTGTTCGACAGTTTTAATCATTTCCCTGGAGCTCCTTCCTGCGGGCAACATACATGATGCTTTGTGTAGCTTTGAAAGCAACCATTCACAAGTATGCCTTTGGTCACTCTTGACAGTGTGTTAACACGCGGCAATGTGCGTGTTTTCTTCATCATGTGGGTTTCCACACAGGTTATGCATCGGGACCTCAAACTGGCCAACATGCTCATCGGTGCAGATGGCATTCTCAAGGTGGGTCGTCGACAGCTTGTATCTGAGGAGAAAATCAGCTGCCCAGGTGGTGCGACAGCAGTTGCTCATTCGGTCATTTACACGAGGTTGAACCATCTGCTCCCAGCAGCGAATCAGCGGGAACGTGGAGCGCCGGTTCTATTGAATCCTGAATCACTTGTTCGGGACAGTATGCGTTGTGAGCAATGAATCCAACAAAAGCTAGGTTATCATCCTGTGATCCTGATCATCCTGACCAGGTTGGCGACTGGGGACTGGCCCGTTCGTTCCACGACAACCAGACGAAGCACACCCCCACCGTCATTACCCTTTGGTACAGACCTCCGGAGGTTTTGCTACGCACCACCAGGGTGAGTTACGGACGAGTTTCGCTATTTTTCATATGCATAGGTTGCGTCCAAAACGGTTCTATGCCACTGGGAGACACCCTTTCAGAAAATCTCATTGCCATGTTTTGACCCTTTTCAAACGCAGTATGGCCCTGCGGTGGATATGTGGTCTGTCGGGTGTATCCTTGCCGAGCTCCTGTACGAGAGCCCGATTCTACCAGGAACACATGAGAAGGAGCAGCTGAACTTGATATATTCGCTGTGTGGCACGCCGACGGATGAGTCATGGCCAGATCGCACGGAGGTAAGGATTTTCGGTACTGTTGCATAGGTAAAAATATTGCCAGGTTCATCCATGACATCTGTGAACAAGTTTCAATGGCAGGAACGTGTCGCAGCGGCAGATACAAATCAGTGGGGGGGCATCAATAACTCGGTCACGTTTGTCGTGGGTTGGTGCGCGGCCAAAAATGCAGGTAATGAACGGTTTGACAAGCGGTCGGGGAGTGAGTATCACCGTCGTGTCACTTACACTGGCAAACACGGCGCAGGTTCACATGCTTGCTTGGCTCCGGGCAGCCTTCAGTAGACCTTGACAAGGGCCGCTGTGCGTTCATTTGCACTCGCGTATTGTTCGTTGTCCCTGTCGTGCTCCTCTTGTTCGCTCCACGCACAGTTGCCGGATTGGTCCCTATATGCCAAGGCTGCGGAAGAGCACAAACCAAGGTCTATTCAATCGAAATTTAGGTGTGTATATCCTCGTTCGCCTGGAATTGATTGGCAGTACCTGTCTCACTCAGGGAGTTCAGCTCGATGCGCACAGGTGTGCTCATCACGTCTCAGTCTCGAGAGATGCGATAAAATTTGTTGCATTTGACTTTTGTTATTCACGTAGTCCAAGGATAAACTCAAAAACTGAGGTATCGAGTTCATTTCGCAACTTGATGAATCTTCGGTTAGTGACGTGCTTGTGTGGGCCGCGCGCCATGTGATCTTGCTCCCTCGCTGTGCGTGGAATCGACTGTGCATTCAACTACTCTTTGTCGATGTTTTGTCTTCCGACCTCTGGGCAGATTCGACCGATTGGGTGTGGATTTGGTGGACAAGCTTCTCACCCTCGATCCTTCAAAGCGATTATCAGCGGCAGAGGCCTTAGACCACCCTTACTTCTGGCATGATCCTCGCGTGGTCCAGCCATCAGAGTAAGTGGGCAACGGTATTCATTGGCCAGAAAATCCTGATTAGAGCCATCTCACGTCCACGAAAGGATACAGCAGTATGGTGATATTCTTCCACACTGCGCCCCGGTTGTCTAGCTGCACGTAGCATGGAGGCGTTAGACGGAATTGTATCTAAGTAGTGACGACTTCACGGGAGGGGGGGAGGATAGTCAGCGAAGCGCAGGGAGTTACCACAACCTGAGGACACCAAAGCGGCCGAGGAGAGGAGAGGGATGCCAGAGGAAATAGCAAGATGTGTACCGGACTGAATGTGGTGGAGGTGGCAGTCGTACGCCACAATCTCCGTTTTTTCAATGCTACTTATCCCCATGTGGCGTATATCCTCATGTCGGTTTACGATCTGGTATGCCTGAATATTTGACAAAAGACTGGATGCCTTTCGTGTGTCGGCGTGCATCGGGGCCGAGTCTAGCCGGCGAAAACCTGGCATGCACCTCTGGCGTAGTTTGTAGGGACGTGGGATATGTAGGAGTTTATGTGTCCTTTTTCGAACGGAATATGTACACATTTTACGTTGGCCTTGATGTTGACACGTCTCCACGCTCGGTATTGGTCCTTTCCAGGCTATCAAAGTTCGCCATACACTCGTGTCACGAATTTGAGGTCAAGAAGGTGAAGGAGAAGGAGCGACTAAGGCGGAAAGAGGTACGAGCCCAGCCTCTTTCCGGTTTCGTGATATCACTGTCGCGCTCTTAGGGATACCTCTGTATCGTGTTTGACAGCGTATTTTATCATCTAGTCTTGGTTTTGTTATGTTTTCGGACACTTGATCATTCCTTCTAACTCAACGCCAGCAGGCGGAGGCAAAAGTCCAAGAGGTCAGGGCAGCGGCAGCCAATCGACCCTCGGAAGCTGATGCAAAGCCTAGCGACAGGTGGTGACAGCGCTCCATGTGCTTGCTTACTTACTCTCGGGGACGAAGCTGACGCCGTCGACGGAAGCCGACTCGAGAGACAACGCGGCTGTTGCTGGCTGCTTCAAAAGCAGCTGGACCCGGGGTGTATGGACAATGAGAGGAACTGTGAATTACACGGGAGTGGCAACGACTTGTAGAGGGACGGTTTGCTCTGGTGAATCCCTGCTGTCAGTGAAGAAGACAGACACATCGCAGCACGCGAGCGTGACCCAGTTCAAGACCGAGATCGGGGTAGTTGTAACAAGAATAAGGACAGGAGAGCGAGCGATAGATAGGCTTCTCACGTTTTTCCGTCCATCCACCATCTATCCACACGTAGAAAATAGACCTGTTACTCCTCACTCAGTTTTTTTGACAGACTGGCCTCTACCCAAGCCAGTTGCGTTCAAATCAGATGCATTCTCTCACACGGTGCATCTTTGTCCATCCCCTTGGCCCATCCCGATACTGCAATCAGGCGGTTGATAAATATCGGGATGTACCAGATCTGCACTCGTCGACAATTTAACGTCATTGTAGGTTAGTCAATCCTAGCCTAACCCCAGTACTCACAAATGGAGACTCTCGGGTCTGGCACACGCACTAGACAACACGCACGTGTGGGCTGTCCGCGTGTTTTATGGTACTCGTCATACCACTCCCTTGCCTTGCTCCTATGAGGCCTGTCTGTGTCATTTCGGAGGTTGAAGCCGGCCGCGAGCGTGTGCCGTGCTTGCGTGCTTCCAACTGCTCGCTCTCTGCCTCTCTGCCACGTCCGTGGTGACGAGGGTATCCAGTGGAGATTGATTCTCGTACACGAACGTGCATGTACCATTCCCGTTTTCTTTGTGTTTCGGTACAATTCTCTCTCGCGGCAGCGAATGTTTTCGCAAGGATTTTTCTTGGGCACATGAAATCGGTGCCTAAAGTCACCGCGATTGCCTCTATTTCACGGGGATGCATTCCGAACCAAAAAAGCCTTTCCACAATGCAAACCTCCTTTGCAACAAGGATTTTGATTCCTGCGCAACGCACACATGTTCCCACACACCATACAAACACGGTACAGATACATGAGACCGGTCGGCCAACGCAGCAGGTCACAGCAGTAGGGATTTGTGGGAAAGATACCGCTAGCCTAACAGCACACCCGCACACACACGCGAAAGGTCACGGTGAGAAAGAGCATAATTTCTGTAGGTTATACGGAAACCGACACTACGGTTGAGGAGATCGAGTATTGTACCAACATTAATTTTGTTTTTATGGGCACCCTGAAGCCTATATTTTAATCTTACCAGGCTTTGGTAGAGTTAGTCATGTTCTATCAACTTTTGCCAGAAATCCTGTTTGATTACTTAGGGATGGTTTACGAGGAGATTGCAGCAGTGGACCAGTACACATACCTCGGAGTAGAGATCGCAAAAAACTGCTCGTGGAATGCACACATGTCCAAGGTAGCGGAAACGGGCAAAGCACGAGCAGGGAACCTGCATCCAATACTCGCAAACCGGCACCTCGATACACGCATCAAATTGACGGTTTTGAAGAGCGTAATTGTACCGCCGCTAGAGTACGCCGGAGAAGTATGGGAAGGAAATAAGAAGGTAGTGAAAGAACTCGAGGCGGCGCAGATGCAAACAGCGAAAATCATCCCCGGATGTTCCAGGCGCACAAGTAATGCAGCCGTGAGGGCAGAATTGGGGATCCAATCCCTACGGTCGGGAAGTGACGCGAGGAAGCTGACATGACAGTATCGCATGTGCGGGATGGGAAAGGAGAGGTTGCCGAGGATTGTATGGGAGGCGAAGTGGGCAAACAAAAAGAGGGGTAGACAACCCACGGAATGGGTCAAGGTTGTAGAGGACGTATGGAAGGGGTTCGACATCGACGAAGANGGTTCAAGGAGAAGATATCTGTTGCTTGTGCCGAGAGAGAAGAACAGAATCTGAGGAAAGAATCCAAGGATAAGGAGGGTCTAGAAGTGTACGGAATGTTGGAAAGAAGGAACAGGGTTCAAGGATTACCTACATGGACCAATGGATGCAGGGACGAAGCTTAAGGTCAAATTCAGGACCGGGGACATAGGCCTTCGAGAACGTCGACGAAGACATAGGACGGTAGAC